TCGAATCAAATTTCTTTGGCTCTCGCTGCCATGCGCAACTGGGCGCAGAAACCCGATACCAGCGCGAATGCAACATCGAAGTGGCAGGTCATAGTGGCAGAGGCGAGGGCTATTGCCTTGAGGCTTCCGCAGGCATTGTCCCTACCGTTTGCTATCTCGTGCATAGGTGGCAAGATCACGATCGACCATTCTGGCAGGATCCAATTGTTGAGTGGCCGAAGTGGAGTCGAAGTCAGCCAGACACGGCCCCTGTATCGGCCCATCAGAGAAGGGCAGCGTGTCTCCGGCTCCGGGGAATTCGGGGACTGGGCTTGGGATGCGCGTTTGCCCGCGGAGTTTCAGCGACCGACGAGTACTCAGTTGGACATGACGGTGGTTGACAGAATAGGCCAGGTAGCCGGAAGTGTGAGTTTGGATGTTGCCGGGGAGGCCAAGGGAAGCTTGCAAATCAAGATCGGTGGGACACTACAGATGACCTTGGACGTCAAGTCCGTCGTGGCTTCTGCTCTGGCAGGCTTACCTACCGAGGATTTCGGATATGCTTTCTTTGCAGATGAGTTCGAATTTTACAACGACAAATGGCTGGCGCGTCAGGTCATGGCAGTGTTGAACTGTGGGTACCTTCGTTTGTTGCAGTGGCCACTGCGAATTGAGCCGTTGAAAAGGCTGGAGATGAACAGTGGGCAGAGGCAGTACGACTTGACGAAGTTGAGGGGCTATCCAACCTTCGAGACACATCCGCAGCTGGGACAGTGTGTGCTTGTGCATTTTACAAAACCGGGCCTCGTTTTTGACGCTGAGAAAACGGAGCGTTTATGTGGTGCAGGAGGCAAGGCAGAAGCCCTCTACAAGGCTATAAAGCTACAAATGCACCGATTCGAAAACGGCATGAAAGCCCACGAGTCCCAAGCCGTGAAGTGGAGATTTGGCACGCATGTAGTCGGAAAGCCACAGTTCGTGCTTCCGCAGGATACCGTACAGGCAAACCTTCAGACAGTAATGGAAAGGCACACCTGGAGCAAGACGCAGGGAGGCTCCAGCCGCCCGGCGCTGCTTGAAGCTGCGGCCACCTCGAGGATCAGTTCTTTGGTGGCAGAAGGTAGCGAAAGCAGCGAAATCGCAATCGCTCGGCATGATGCAAATGCAGTGGAAGAGGAGCGCCGCGTGGAGGCACCAACTACCGACAAGGGTAGCTTCGAGTCCAAGGCTTGCCGTGCGCAAGAGGAGCTGGATTCCATCCGCTATCCACCGGAGAAGTATGGCAATGCCTCGATTCGCATGGTCATACCGGCAACTCCTATTGGTGATGTGCATCTCCTCATCGAGAAGATCCAGGTCGTAAGCTTTGACATTGTAGGAAGTCTTGTCCGCAACAGCGACACGACCTTCTCCTTCGAGATTGGGGGCAGCGATGGGCCTGGAACCGTGGACGTTTATGTTCAAGGAGACGCGGCTGCACATGCTGCACAGATCACATGATCTGCCGCATCTGTAAACATGCCTTAGAGCGCAAGAGAGCCTACGTTTGATTTGTCCAGATGGCGAAGTTTCAGATAACAGGAAGCGTGAAGTTCAGTTGTCGGCGTCGCTTGGCTTGTTCGGAGCTGGGAGTGCCGAAGCCCAAGGAATCAAGTTCAAGGCGCCGGACTCTGCGGTACCGGGCATCACGAAGGCGGCTGGTGCCCCTGGGCTGCAAAGTTTGGACTGAATGTCGGAGTTGTCGGGTGGGCGCATGACAGTAACAGGAGCTGTCCTGGTTCTTTGGCCCCTTGCCGCATGTCAGCCACCGAGGCCGATAATCTCGAGGAGGGGCCTTTGAAGGCGACCCTGAAGATGAAGGGGGAGCTCAAGCTGAGCGAAGGCCTTTTGGGAATTTCCTGCGGTGCGACTCTGTCAGCTGGGTGGGGAAGAATTGTGAACGGCTGCTACGGCTCAAGCAGCAGGGAAGACCTGGCTGACCAGTTTTGCATTTTTGAGCGATGCTGTCGGGGAGTCGGATATTCATAGCAAACTTGCAGCTCTTAGCTAGTACGTGAGGTTCGCTACTTGCAGAAGGCTCAGCAGGCATATTGCCACTGATGTTTGCACATGCTGCCCTCTTGGCAGGTGCTGCTGTCTCTCTAGGTCACAGACCTTCCAAGAGTTGAGCTTTGAAAGCAAAAGATGATAGTCAGCTACGACGTCAGCTGAACCTTGGCTCCCCGCCTTATCCGGCCTTCCCCATGAGCCGATGGTTCCAGCATCCGTGCTCCAAGAGTGCTTTTTGTTTCATTCGTTTCGCCTTGCAGATCGCAGTTTTGGCATCTGCAAACGACTGGACATCACTGTCTCCGCTGGGGACACCAGCCGCGCGCAGTGGACACACGATGGTCTGGGATCCCGGCGCAGACGACGGAGGCTTCTGGATGTTTGGTGGGGAGCTGTTACTCAGCATCAAGTCCAACAACCTGTACTTCTACAATGCAGCTTCAAACCTCTGGACGCAGAAAGCGTCGGGCCCCGCGGCTAGATACCGCCATTCTGCAGTGTTGGACCCCACGGCAAGAACCATGTACGTCTTTGCAGGCACGACTCTGGCCTCCGCTGGCAACACCTTTAACGATCTCCATCTCTATGATGTGCAACTCGACTCCTGGACCGAGCTTACCGGCACTGCCGGGCGGTCAAGGCACACGGCGGTGTGGGATAGCACCAGCGATCGGATGATCGTGTTCGGGGGCTTGGACGATATGCTGAACAAGCTGGATAGCCTTGCGGAGTACGACCGGGCCACAGACAGCTGGTCCAGCCCAGCGGCAGTGGGCCCGGTAGCGCGCGACGGTCACGTGGCCGTTTGGGATCCTGCTACCGGCACTATGCTGATGTGTTGCGGTGCCTCCTCTGCGGCAACCCTCGGTGATCTGTGGAGCTACAACGGCGCCTGGAGCCAGCTTGTTCCATCGGGCAGCATCACGGCCCGGAGCTACGCCTCCGCAGTCTGGGATCCTCAGGCGGGAGCCTTGCTGGGCTTTGCTGGTTCTGGCGGTTCCAAGCTGAACTCCCTGTTCTTGTATTCTACAAGCGCCAACAGCTGGAGCGAGTACACTGAGACGGGCCCTCCTGCGCAAGACAGAGGTGCGGTGGCCTGGGATCCCGTCAACGGGCGTCTCTACGCCTTCGGTGGCTACGACTGGCTTGGCCTGTTGGGTTCGCTGTGGAGGTTCGATGCATCTCATACGTCCATGACCAGCACGAGTTCTGCAACATCAGCGACTGAGACGGCCACCACGACCAACACGACCCTGACAACATCAACAGTCTCCTCAACGGAGACTTCATCCACGTCCAGCATCAGTTCATCATCAACCGCCAGCAGCACTTCTAGCATCACCGCCACCGTTAGCACAACAAGCACCACAGAGACGACCAGCAGAACGACGACAACAAGTGCTTCCAGCACGTCCACCACGCAATCCAGGTGGGTTGAGCTTAGACAGCTGAATGGGCTGTCTTTCAATGCTGTTTGTTTTTGCTTTCTGTTCCTGCTAGACGGCTAGACCCCGCCCTCACCCACAGTCTTTCCCACAACCTTAGTTTCACCCAGAAGTTCACCCACAGAACGTCCACCACACGAAGTACCGTTTCATCAACCTCCACATCCTCTACCTCTACGACTGCATCTTTCACATCTTCGACCGAAACGAGTTTGACAACTACATCCGGAACCACTACTGTCACTACCGCCACGGTAACGACAATAACCCAGACATCTTCAACAGCTTCGACCTCAACGGCCACGTCCGTGACTTCGTCTTCCACTTCAGCGACGACCTCGACAGCAACTGCCACTTCTGTGACAACCTCTTCCACGAGCCTGACAAGCTCCTTTACCACATCGACGACCGCCACTTCAACAACATCTACATCAACTAGGTCAACTACAACATCTGTGACGTCAACCTCGTCCACATCAACAAGGTCAACTACAACATCTTTGACGTCAACGTCGTCCACGGCAACCAGGTCAACTACAACATCTGTGACGTCAACGTCGTCCACGATAACTAGGTCAACTACAACATCTGTGACGTCAACCTCGTCCACATCAACAACGTCAATCACATCTTCAAGTTCCGTCTCCCGAACGACCTCCTTGACGGCCACTACATCCTCCACGCTCTCGAAGAGCACCACATCCACCGAAACCTCCAGAACCGGGTCAATCACCTCACAGTCCTCGACTACGACGTTCACGACCCTCAGTATCACTACCAAGACAGGCACCTCGACAACATTAGCTTCGACGTCAGGAACTTCGGTAAAGACTTCTACTTCAATATCTGCAAAAGCTCTCGGCACCACTGCCACGGTCACGGCGACCCTAACAGCGATTCTGTCGACGGCCAGCAATATAGATCTGCTGTTGACAGATCTTGACCGCTCGGAAGAAGAGGTTGCCAGGCAGTTGGTAGCGC